GAGAAGGGGGAGGGATTGCCTACGTCTGCATGGTCCGATCGCGGCGTGGGGGACGTAGCCGCTCTCCACGCATCGATCCGATCATGCAGACTGCGGCTACCAAAAACGCAGCAAGAGAAGGAGAAGAAGGGCAGGAAGGACGAAGCACAAGAAGAAAGATACAGTTAGAATTGCGCCCGCCCAAAATTACAGTTACAAACGAGATTAAAGGCGCCGACTAATCAGAGTTCCGTTGCAGCCGCACAAAAGAAGAGCGTAAGCAAAAAGCGTCGTGCGGCCAAAAAGGAAAATCCTAATTACAAAAATTCCTAATTTCCTATCTAATGCGAAAAAGCAAAAAACACAAGTTTTTGAAGGAAAGTCTGAAATTTCGAAAGTTGCATAGGCTGAACAAAATCTGAAAAGGAATTCAAAAAGAAAAATTCAAAAAGAACGAAGCAAAATTCCCACGTGATGTCCGCGCCCAAAAAGTTCGAAACCGAAACAAAAGAAGCGACGTCAACATTTATTAATCGCGCGCATGTCCGCGCGCCAATCACTCAACTGACCGTCCTGGGACTCGCCCGGCCCTGAACCCAGCCATCCGAAAAGAATCGACGCAAAAAGACGAAGAAGCGAGGGTACTAATGCAATTTCCCACTGATCCCGATCTCCCGTAATTGGCCCCACCTTCCCAGCTTAGGACCCCTCATTGCAATCGCGCAGAAAGTCGCGTGCTACAGAAAGTTGTTCGTCACATATGTGACGCCTAGGGGGTTCCAATATTAGCAAGCTCCTGCTTGCTTGTTGACACGTGTCGATCACTCTAATCGATCGACACGCGGAACTCTTCTCTCTGTGCCACTAACCGTTCGAATGAGTGTGGACGTCGTCCAATGTGGCAAACGCAGCTCTACTACTAATTCCTCAGGGAGGGCCATTGACAATCCAAGGAGGGGATTACACGGGTTGTCATCATGACACGTGTCCACTAGTCATGCATCAGCAAGCACTAGGGAGGGGAAAAGGGAGACGGTACATGGAGGGATGGCGAGGGGGGGGGGGGTTGATTGGTAGTGGGTGAAGGAAGCTCTCCATTCCGGCCACCGTCTCCGGAAGATCTTGATAGCGAACGATCCGGTGAAAGCGGGGGAATCGGTTGCCAGTGTGAGGGAGGGATGCGAGGTAGTCGGGATAGAGGGTGGTAAAGGTTCGAAAAAGGGCCGCGCAGAAGTGATCGTGGTTCTCGCATGCGGGGATAGTCCCCGTAATCATGCAGTATACCTGGATCATATTGTGGCCTCGCCTCGCCACGCGGCGCTAAGGAAGACGATATGGAGGCAGAAGACAGGGAGGGGGCATCGAGTGGAAGGGTGGGGATGAACAGTGACAGCGAGGCGGGTAGTGTAGAAAAAGCGGAAGGTATCGATGGGGAAGGAATTGTCGGGGAAGGTGACGCGAGGGGTGATCTGGCGGAAGGAGAGGTGGTCAAGGGGACGACGGGATAAGGACCGGCGACGAAGCCCAATGCCCCGCATCGGTACGTGGACGAGTTGGTGGGCGGTTGGGGGCGGAGGGGGAGGGGGATCGGCTTCGTCGCCGCCTTGCTGGTGCGGTCGAAGTCTCGGCAATTGGGTCCCCATCCTCGGGCTTAGGTGGCTCTGGATCCCGGGCCGGATCGTCGGTGAGCGGCTGACTGGCTACGCTGGCGAATTCCAACTGTCGCTTCCCAGCCGCGATCTCTTCCCTCTTTTGCGCCTGGGCCTGCGCCCGATCCTCATCACGCACTTCCTCCTCAAGTCCTTCATACTCTAATTCTTCCAACTCCTGGTCTTCTTCTTCTTCCTCCTCCTTGTCTTGTTCTTCCTCCTCCTCGTCGTCTTGTTCTTCCTCCTCCTCACTTTGCCCCCCTTCGCTATGCTCACTGTAACTCCCTTCTTCGGGAGTTTCTTCCTCGTCGGCTTCTTCTTCGGCTTCTTCTTCGGCTTCTTCTTCTTCCGAGCTTTCCTCTTCCTCTTCGATCTCTACCTCCTCGTTCTCGGAGGTCGTCCGATCTTGAAAGAAGGCGAGATCGACGATCTCATGCGGGTCCAGATAACCGCGCTGTGACGGTGGGTTGCGGCTGCTTCCGGGCTCCTCCAAGCACGTCGACCACTGAAGATACGGTTCCAAGGTCCGCGCGAGAACATGCGGGACTGGGTTGTCGTCGCTCTGCGAGACGATCTCAAGTGGGAGATCGTCGGCCAGCTGCGCAAGGGGGACCGTCAGCTCCTGCACGATCAGTTGGCGATGAACAGGCCCCACCGATCCGAAGAGGAACCCGAGCAGATCGCCCTCCACTCCCTTTCCGCCACGCCTGCATGATGAGCAGCTCAAGGTGCTCAGCCGACTGGCAGTGATTCTCGTGCCTCGTCCACGTGACCCTTACTCCAACCAGACACACCGACAGCTCAGCGAAGTGCTCTCGCCAACGCCTCCACTGCTGGGGATTGAGGAGGGGGACGGCGAGTGACTCCAGACAAAAGGAGAGATGTGGATGGACTCCCGATTGCCAGAAGGTGGGAAAGAAGGAGGGGAGGTCGAAAGTGGAGATTGGGGATGGGTTCATTGAGGACGGGGGAAGGGGATGAGTTCAGGGAGCACCACCGTCGGCTCGTGCTGGAAAGCCCGGATCCCGTCGAGATCAACGTCGTCCGTGGGGAAGAGATTATCGCCGTGGGGTGTGAGCCAGCGATTCCACTCTGACGCCAACTGTTGCGCCCACAGCCGAAGCGCCGTCTTGATAGCCGTATGCCGTAGCGGGCTGATGGTGCTGATGTCGCCGCTGAAGGCGACAACCGTAGACACGTGGCTGATTACAGGAGACGATCGCCGATGAACCGCTACCGCCTCCGCCAAAACAACCGCCCGGGGACTGCCTGCGAATCGGAACTCAGCGGCTGCGTACACTCCCTGGGTACAAAAGAATTGTGCAAGTCGCCGAAGGTCCGAATTGAGCCGCGGATGATGAACTTGTCGGATTGCCGAGATGTAACACCGTGGCACCAGCAGAGAATTGTCAAGAGCTCGCTCCGTATGAAAACTCATGGCGATGGCGACGGTGACAGAGTAATAGAAGGAGAGCGAGAAGAAGACGGAGAAACAGGCGATAAACAATCGTCGTCGTCTTCCGTAGCGGAGGAGGAGTCGGATGAAGGCGAAGATGGGGAAGACGGGAGGGGACGAAGGTAGGACACGTGGCGGATGATCGGACGAGCCGATCGGCTGCCGGAGACCTCAGGCGCAAGCCGCACGGTGTTCACGCCGTTCGGTCCGAGCTCAATCACGAGGAATCACCCGAAGAATCGTGGCGCTAGCTTACCCTGGCGAGCACATTTCCTCACCTGCACGATGTCCCCCAATTTGTATTGGGGCCGTGGACCGGCGTTCCCGTTCCGGGCCTCGTAGCTTCGGACCTGTCGGCCGTGGGCCAATTCGGCCATCTTCTGGCGTTTTCGGGCTAGCTTGGGGAGGGATCGTTCCATTAACTCTAAGTGCCGCTTGGCGTTCTCCCGAGCCACGGCCCTTGTGGGCCGTCGGTTGAGCGTTGATTCGTCAGGAAGGCTTGGTATCGAAACGCAAGCGACGATTGGTTCTCAATTGGAAGGGGCTCAGGCCCGTCGATTCGTGGGGCGTTCCACGATGGACCGCCAAGATGTGGTCTACGATATCGGGCCAGGGCCTGGGGTCTCGTGCCGCGATGTTTCGTCGCAGCGCTGTCCTTATCACCCTATGTGCGTTTTCTACCAGCCCATTGGATTGTGACATGTGGGGCGCGGTATTCCGCACAGCGACACCGTGTATGACCAGGTTCCTTAATACTTCCCCTCTGAATTCTGCCCCGTTATCGGTCAGGATTTCTTCCGTATCCTGGTGCATCCTGAGAAAACGGTTAACATACCGCGCCCGACATGTCAGGATTTCTTCCGCACAGCGACACCGTGTATTCGGCGGCTTGTCGCGTGCGACAGGGATAGGCCTCGATCCATTTCGAAAAATGGTCGACAAATACCAACAGGATTGAATACTCACAACTATTAGGACCAGGGGGGACCGCGATATCGATAGTATCCCTTTGGAACGGCCGTTCAACTATCGTTGGCACTATCGATCTTGGCGGTTGGATCGGCGCCTTGTCAGCAGCGCAGATGTGACAGTTTGCGACGATGAATTTCACATCGTCCCTAATATTGGACCAATACCATTCATTTATGTCGATTGCCGACTTCGTAATCCGTACGGCGAAATGGGCAGCCGTTTCTTCATGTGTTGTCTTCACCCAGTCATACCTCATGAACGGATGCGGTACAACCATCCAAATCCCACTGCCGTCCGTTTTTCGTTTTTCTAATCTACCGTCGACCCATCGATAATCCCGAGCCCTTTCATTAGCCCTCCTCCGATCTTCCTTGGTAAAATCCTGGAGGGGGTTACCTACTAAGGTGGAAATCAAAGCGATATCGGTCCATACTTCGGCCCTTCTAAACTTTCGGGTCTTCTCCAATCCTTCTGACGTGGCATCCAGAAAGCGAGCCTCGGTCGGGATCTTGACAACTCGACACATGGGGCATAGCCACGGTTTACTGTTATTCCGGTATTGGATGCACGAGCCATGGGCTCGTGCGACACACTGTCGACAGTCTATCCATTCCGCATACCCTTCCCCATTAGGACGCATGGAGACCGAGTATACGCGAGAAATTGCTTCGCAAAAATAGCAAAATTTATCAGGTAGGGAGAGAAGAGATGAAGAGGAGAGGCAAGAGAGAGGAATTACGGGATTACCTCCGTCACCCATTGCCACCGGTCTGCTTCTTGCCACGTGAGAGAACTGCCACTTGTCCGTACGTAGGCCCGTTTGCCGGTTCCGACTCCTTCCACGGAGTGATTTCCTCGCCCTTGGGTCCTTTAGCGGGCCGATGCAGACGTGTCAGTCCGTTCGCGTTGCAGTGTCTTTCTGTCTTTTGATGGATGATGTCAAAGTCGTACTCCTGCAGACGTACCGCCCATTGTCCAATCATTCATGTGTAATTAGTGAGCTTTTTCAAGGCCAGCAGAGGTTCGTGATCCGTCACGAGGCGGAACTTCTGTCCGTAGAGATAAGGATGGAAGTGTTGGATTCCAGGTTCGTGATCCGTCACGAGGCGGAACTTCTGTCCGTAGAGATAAGGATGGAAGTGTTGGATTCCCCAAACTACTGCATAACATTCGCCTTGCGGTGCTGAATCGTTCCTTCGCTCGTTGGGCACCGTTCGCGACACGTACTCAATGACGTGTTCACGACCATCGCTCCCCTTCTGCGCTAAAATAGAGGAGATAGCCTCCGGTTGCCAGTCCGTGATAAGGATGAACTGTTTCGAGGGGTCCGGTCGGATCAAAATAGGTGTCGTGGCCAGAGCGTCCTTGAGGGCCGAAAAAGCCTGCTCGCACTCCGCGTCCCAACTGAGAGGCTGGTCTTTTCGTAACAGGTTCGTTAGTGGTCGTGCAATCGCGGCGAAGCCTTTGATGAAACGGCGATCGTACGACGCCAACCCCAAGAAGGCTCGAACCTGCGTCAGCGACGTGGGAACAGGAGCTTCTCTTACCGCCGCGACCTTTCTTGAGTCCGGCCGCAATCCTCCACGTGTCACGACGTACCCTGGGAACGAAATTTCTGAAAGGAAAAATTCGCTTTTTTCGAGCGCGATCTTGAATCCAGCGTCTCTCAATGCTCCCAACGTCCACTCGATGTGTTGCGCATGCCGTGATAGGTCTCCGAGTGGACAAGGATATCATCCATGTAGACGATGACGCAGAAGTTTATCATTCCTTGAGTCAGTCGAGTCTTGTTGACAAAGTTCTGGAACGTTACGTTCATTGCTCGTTGAAACGTGGCCGGCGCGTTACAAATTCCCATCGGGCACCGAACCCACTGCCACGTGCCCTCAAACAGTACGAAGGCCGTCTTCGGCCGATTGTCCTCCTTAACCAGAATGTGATGGAAGCCATGTCGAATATCAAACTTACTGAAATAATTAGCACATCCAATCGCATCCAGCGAATCATCCATCCGGGGGAGGGGGTACACATCTTTAATCGTGATTTCATTCAGTTTGTGATAATCGATGCATATGGGGATTGATCCGTTTTTCTTCGGTACTAACACTACTGGAAATGACCATGGTCCAGTGGCGGGTTCGATCCACCCGCTTGCTTCGAATTCCTGAATTCGCTCAAGAGCCTTTTTTCGTTTTATCAGGGAGTATCGTTAGGGCTTGCAGTGGATGGGGGAATGATTTCCTGTCTGAATTTCGTGTTGAATAACCAACGACAAGCCGATATAAGTATCTGTTATGCTAATCGTTGCCTGATACTCTGTCAGAATGTCCGCAATCAAACGATGTATCTCATCAGGTACGTACTGTGGAACGTGTAACTCGAAAAGTTGGTCCCAGATTTGTACGTCCATCTGCTTCGTGCGTGCGTGTTTCGCCACATCAGGTGGTGGCGCGGAGATAAACAAATGATCCGATCGCCAGGAGAACACCTGTCTCTTATACACATCTAGATGTGTATAAGAGACAGGGTACGTACTGTGGAACGTGTAACTCGAAAAGTTGGTCCCAGATTTGTACGTCCATCTGCTTCGTGCGTGCGTGTTTCGCCACATCAGGTGGTGGCGCGGAGATAAACAAATGATCCGATCGCCAGGAGAACACTGTGACCATCATTTGGGCATCTTCTTCTCAGATGGCGATGTGTCCTTCCGGGGTGATCCCATCGCAGATATCTTGCCATGGTATGGTTCTAGTCGCGATTTTTATTCCGAGTTCATCTGGTTCAGCCTCGAGACGCCCAAGGGGTTCCAAAGAACTGGCCTCCGCCCCCAGGCGTAACAGTCGTACTTCCTTTGCGGATGTCAAAAGGGACTTCGGAAGATCTGTGATATCATAGTAGTGCTTCTTGTCGTTGTATCGGGCGAGGAGAGGGGAGATTCCTTCGTACAGGGTTTGAGGAGGTTCCAAAGAATCGACCATCCTCGAAATCTATATGAGTGGTTCACCCAAAATCATCGCCTTGGTTCTTTGGATATTCCGCCTGGTTAGATGCATCGTTCTTGCGATCGTTCTGGGCGGCGGGTAATAAATGCGCTGTCGCACTAGCTTCAAAATTTCCGGGTCGTTTTCGTCACTGCTATCCGCATCCTTCGATGATGACTCACCGTCTGCGGATTCTTCCCAAGTGATCATGCGAAGAGTTCCTGCTATCATCAGAGAAACTCGTGGGACGGCGTTGATAGTAGTCCGAAGAGTCAGCCTCATAGGTACAGCATACGGCTTTCCTCCCGTATTTCGGAGGATGATTGACCGTCGCTCGAAATCCAAGTTCGCTCGTAACGCCACAAGAGTGGGAAGGCCAAAAAGAATGTCGTATGTTTTTACGTCTAATACCACGACATCCCCTAACGCATGCACCTTACCTAATCGAAAGGCGACGTTGGTCATTCTTCCCACCGTTTTAATCTTTTCTTCGTCCGCCGAAACGAGCTGATCCTTCTTTGTAAGCATGATCAGATCATTTTTCCTACCTGCCCTCTCAACTACTCGTAGGGAGATAGCCAAAACAGGAGCTCCTTAATCAATGATTGCATTGTACGGAATTCCCCATATTTCGATGTCACATTCCGCCGATTTCCACGGGATGGGTTTAATCCGCAGGAAACAGTCGTCTTTCTGGATTAATCCTACCCGTATCGGATCCAAAGTACCAGCCGTATTTTCGTCTGACGTGGGGCTCTTAGCTTTCACGTTCGTTGTTCGGGCGAGGGCGAATCGTTTTCGGTTCGCCTTACAGTGCTGTAGCATTCGCTCATTAGCTTGTTCGGAGATTGAGAACAGGTGGCCAATCGGAAGTGGAATCCGATGGTCCAAAGCTCGGATGATGTTCAGCACATCGATTTCCCCAGTGACGAAGGTGGGTCCTCCCGACTCCATTTCTCCTAGAGAAGGTCGCCACTCCGCCACTTCTTTCTTTTCCGGCGCCGGTCTGATTGTTCCGATCATTCCAAGTCCAAGGTAACCAAGCGATACATATTGATCTAACGGGATGAGCTCGGCGGCCTCTTCCGTGGTAGCCAACGCACTTCCCCCACCTTCCATCTCTTCTATCAGGGCTCCTACCCGTCCAGGTCCGTTAGCGATGGGAGCCGCTGCCATTGGTGCGACCCCGATCCGTTGTTGCGGGGG